AAAAAAAAAAGTAATAAAATATCAGTAAAAATATTTTGTGTAATTTGACACAAATATGAATGAGACAGGTAGCCGAACTTCGAAACTTTTTTTTTTTTTTATGCACACTCTCCCAACAGGTGCTTTGCATATAATCTGAGACTATGTCTGTGAAGCATTGCCCTGTTATGTATTATTATAATGATAATTCTGAATTCAGTGCATTAAATATGTACAGTGTATACCCTTAATATAGGCACCCTTGATTAATTTTAGCAAAACGGACTGTAAAAAAAAAAATTGCTGTTTCTTCGCTTATTGTTTTTAATTGAAGTAAAATTTACATAAAAATAAATGTGGAATATTTTGTTTTCTATTATTTGTATAATGATCTATTATTGTACTTTAATTAAAGGGCAGATTTTGTGAATATTTAAATGAAAATTATAAACTGATTTATGATTGATATCACTTGCCCTTACATCGTCGTCTTCTGTTTTATTTTCCAATGGCCTGCTTTTCAAAACGAATTGATGTGTTTCCAGTGCAAACTTTTTATTTATTGTTGGTGGCTATAAATAAACACAACTGTACCTTTTATTTTGCTTGACTTATTTTTTTTTGAACTGTGTAGAGTAGACTCTAATTTTAAATAATTTTTTTTTACTCATTCAATTTGATTAGGTCTGGCATGCTTGATATGTCTTGTATTTCAGGCTCCTGCTGCCTTTGGACTCGTCTCTTTCCTCATGCATGCGGGTTTAGAAAGAAACCGTATCCGGAAACATCTATTAGTCTTTGCCTTGGCTGCCCCTGTTTTGGCCATGCTCACCTACGTAGGACTCAGTCAGGTATGTTTAAGTATTACAAAAAGTAACACTTTACAACAAGGTTCCATTTGATAGCATTAGTTAGCAAACTAACAATGAAAAAAAAAACCTTCTAAAGCATTTATTAATCTTAGTTAATGTTGTGTCCAACATTAAATACTTTTTATTAATTTTTTTTAATTAAATACTGTAACAAATGTATTGCTTGCTGTTAGTTAATGTTAGTTAATGCATTATATAGTTAACAAATGGAACCTTATTGCAAAAATCGTAAAGTAAAAATAAATAATAATAATAATATTAAAAATAAGAATGTTATATTTTAAGAGTGCATTAGTGCCTGCCCACTCTGTCAGCGATGTTGCTTCTGGAATTATTTTTTTTTTACAAAGGTTAAATACTGTTCCCTTTCATGGGAACTTCGAACTGCGTCCTCTAGGGGTCGCTATGGGGTATGTAATCTATTTTTATTATTATTAATTTGACTCTAAAACTACCATGCCAATATTTATTTAAATGTGTGCTAAATTGACATATATCCTTTAATGTTTTTTTTTTTAGTGTTTTTGTTCCCCTGTAGGGATTGTAACATTTTCTTTATAATGTTACATCTACTAATTACCCCATAATGGCACAAGGTTTAGTGTCCTTTTTATAACTTCACAGCAATAACTTCAGATGCTTTACCAGGGTTAACCATGGTTACATATGTAACCTGAGACGTTTTCCTTTGTTTACCTGTTTACTGCTACAATCCCGTGAAGCTTTGTGAATGGCATAATCAAATGAAAAGAATGGTGAAATAAAGAACTTTTCATTTCGTATCAATAGAAAGGATATTTTGACAATATATTGAGAAAAAAAAAAAGCCTATTGCAAAATATGCTCTCTATGAAGAAAATTAGTTTTGTCTTCCGGAACCAGACTGATAAACACAATAATACCTTTATTTATTAATTTATGTAATCTATTTTTATTATTATTAATTTGACTCTAAAACTACCATGCCAATATTTATTTAAATGTGTGCTAAATTGACATATATCCTTTAATGTTTTTTTTTTTAGTGTTTTTGTTCCCCTGTAGGGATTGTAACATTTTCTTTATAATGTTACATCTACTAATTACCCCATAATGGCACAAGGTTTAGTGTCCTTTTTATAACTTCACAGCAATAACTTCAGATGCTTTACCAGGGTTACATAACAAGCATGGAGACCCACGCTGTGTTTTTCAGATTTGTCCCGCAGGCTTCCCATCGCCATGGGAACGGCTGAGGCTGCTGAGTGAAGATCACTCACCTCTGGCTCTCCTGCTGTGAAACACCCCATAATTGTGCTTCTTTAGACAGCCTGGAAATCACTGAAATGCAGAAAAGCAATGCAATCTTACCGCTGGGACGTCAACGAGCATCCCTATAACAATACTGAATATTTAATGTCTGCCAAAAAACAAGTTTCTACCAATCCGACTGTGTCCTAGATTCACCCGTCATCTAACACTTTTCCTCTTCTTCCATCCAGAGCAGTAAAGAGGCGCTATCTGACGTCAACGCCACCGGCGTGGCCATGCTGTTTTCCGCCGGCACCTTCCTGTACGTAGCCACGGTGCACGTCCTCCCGGAAGTGGGCGGCATGGGCGGCCACAGCCACTCGCCCGGAGGCAGCGCAGGGAAGGGACTGAGCAAAGTGGAGGTTGGAGCTCTGGTTCTAGGCTGTCTGATACCTCTGGTGCTGTCCATCGGCCACCAGCACTAGTGTTTTTCACTTGAAGCAACACTGAAAAAGGTCTGAAAAGTGTAAACGGGACTTTGAACAGAATTGGCCGCAGATGTGGTTTGAATCATGCCTCTGTCGGTTTATTCAAGTTGGCGGTTGGAGTGAACGCAGGAACATTGCAGTCGGGATCAAGATTTGAGAAGCGCCTATGGACTTCTGGAATGGGCTGCCCTGTCCCTTCATAAAGCCCTGTGGGCTGACAGCTTACGATGACCATACACAAATAAATGCAATCATGTGTCCACCTCTTAATTTTATGTTTTCTTCAGTGGTGCTGGTTTAAAAAGATGTGGTTGTTGTTGGGTTGTCATGTATGCTTTAAATTTGGTATTTTATTGGTTTTTATATGAAATTTGTCCATGAATCTTTTAAAAGATGAACCAACACAATTGTGCCCATTTACAATGATGATAAATGTTTAGATACTTTACAAACATTAAATGTATTGAGTTTATTGTCCCTCTTTTTCTACAGTATTGATTAGTTGTTTTAAACTTTGATCAAATTTCACCTTGCCTAGCTAGTTAGCTAAAATACTTTTCATTAAGAACATTTCCATGTTTTATTTGTTTTTACTCCCTTGATATGTGTATATATATATATATATTATTAAATGACACTTGAAAAATGTGTTGTCCAAAGGCTTGCAGGTGGACATTTTTCTGTTGAGTTCAGTGCATGTACAGCTTTATTATTTGACTTACCATTTTTTCAAACCTGACTGGTTGTTTAATCCTGAAAAATCTGATCTGATTGGTCATTCAGATGTTTTGTACTGTGATGCCTGCTCCGAGCAGAGTCTGTGTACTGTAAATATGTATTCTCTGTATAAATGACAAACAAAAATACCCTATTTGACATCCTGTTTGACACCCCGAGGAGTTTTTAAGTGTGGGGAAGAAAGATTGTTTTTGAAATGAATGATTATTGACACTTCCGTTTTTATTTGGGACTTATTCTTTGAGAATTTGAGGTCAGTTGGAAAGATATATGGTGGATTTCTGCTTTGGTCAGCTGAAGGTTTTAGATCTGCGAACGGGAAAGCTGCTGTGTTCATCACTAAGTTACTTGGAGGTTGCCTCTTGCCAACTTGGACACCAGCAACATCCTATGATCCTGGTTTACAAACTGTCTTGCTCTGAAAAATGACCGTCATAGTCTATTTGAAAGCTGTGTTAGTGCTTTTAGCTCTCTAGTGCCCTCATCTTACCATAGTGCACAAGTGCAGCATCAACCTCAAACTGTGGAAGAAACACTGATGAGAGACTTCATGCTGATTTGTGGATAATTATCATTTTATGACACCTTTTAAAGGGAAAACTAGATAAACTTAGCCGAATTCAAATACTACGACATGACCTCCCAGAAACTTGGGACAGATATATAATGGAACTGAATGGTGATTGGATAGATGAAATTTTGTGCCATAATTACTTATTTCTGCTCGTACAGCTCAGAGATTTTACAGTGTGGCGAGATATGATGAATTCATGATGAACTGAGTTTTGGGCTTTTATGTGATCATTCCACAAGAGGAGTATGCCTTATTTTTCTCACAGTTGTTAAAATGGTTTCACAATTCTTTGTTCATGATTTGAATAAACTTTTCTTTTTTAATGGATGCAGATCTTACTATGTACCTTATTTTGCCTGTAATGACATTTGGAATTGCATTGAGAAATATTTTCACATGTGATTTAATGAAGCAAATAAATTGTAAATGGAAAAATATGAGTTATTGTCCAGTAATAAAGAAATAAACAGGCACATCTTTGGATATTGACAGCAATCTGGAACATTTATCTACTTTTTTTTTTAACACTTTCAACGTTTACAGTAATGACACATTGTAGTCCAAACAGAATATGATTACATCAAAGTTTTGATTATTATGACTATTATATTACATATTTAATAATAGACACTTAAACATTGAAATTCTTCATACAAATATTTGTATATTAAAGATATAGTAATCCAAATACAGAGAAATGCATATGAATCATTTCAATATTTATGTGAAAATAATTATAGATTTTTACACAAATTACAGCTCTCAGTCATGCCTGTGCTGAAGTATCTTTTCCATAACATTGTAAATGAAGATCATGTTTGAAAAGAGGGATGAGATGTGATGTATGAAGAAACTAAAGAAATATTGCATCCTGCATCATTTCAAATTAAGCTCCTTTAATACATACTGTACTATGCAAATAGCCTTTAGTCTATGTGTAAAGTCACAGTGCCTGTGCTGAAGTATCTTTTCTATAACATTGTAAATGAAGATCATGTTTGAAAAGAGGGATGAGATGTGATGTATGAAGAAACTAAATAAATATTGCATCCTGCATCATTTCAAATTAAGCTCCTTTAATACATACTGTACTATGCAAATAGCCTTTAGTCTATGTGTAAAGTCACAGATGAAGTGTTATTAGATATAAATCCACTGGACCTGGAAGCTGTGTCTAGAGTACATAATCCCTGATCCATTAGCAAACTACACACTCGTAAATGATACCATACGTTCAATGATAAGACAAATCACTGTAAACATGGCAGATTTACAAGCATATGGATCCAAAATGTGTTTGGTGAAGTTGTTTAGACAGGAATACATCTGTAATCCAAACACTTACGCACACAACAGCACCAAATGGCTCTTTAGCAGATTAATCTGTCTGTAAAATTGGACAGATTGCTCTTTTATGTAAGAACAACATCTAAAATCTCTTTTCCCCACCTGTCTAATATATTTTTGGTCAGTATAGTCACTTCTGTCCCTGTGGACACATTTTCGGAATGAAATGTCTTACTCATTTGTCTTAAGGCTATTTAAAATAAAAATATAAAAAATAAAACAATTTGTACAATACATTTACAATTAAAAAACAATAATGTTTTGATACAGTTTGCATTATGTCAGAATTACAGCTTGATTGAAAACAACAAATTTCTTCACACATCACATTGCATACTTTATATTAAGTATGATCTTTACTGATACTGCTGTCACCAAATACAATAACTTTTGATACAACTTTATTAGGGGCAAAATTTGTTATTTGTAGTGGCACACAAGTTTAGTTTAGTTATTTTTAAAGCACTTTTAAAACAGCCTAGAGACTGGCCAAAGTGCTGTACATGAGCAAAGTAATAAGTACAATATAAAAAATAATCAAAATGAACATGAGCAGAATACACAAATACTACATTTGAAACAGAAACAACAATCAGCAATTAACACATGTTGATGGCTAAGGAGAACAAATGAGTTTTAAGAAGAGATTTAAAAACTGGTGAAGAAGGGGCCATTCTAAGTTGTACTGGCAAGCTATTCCACAGTCGAGGACCTAACACCGAATAAGCTCGATCCCCTCTGCGTTTAACTTTGAACAAGCGATTGTCGATAAGTTAAGGTTACAGAACTGGTCATACTGAGCATAAAGAATTGTATGCTCTGCATATGCTAAGCTATAAGGAAGTTATTACTACGGCTAAATCTGAATTTAATTTTTTTTACATTTACAATTTATTTAGCGCAAGTGAAGGGAATACTTGAATGATTTTCTCTACTGTTAATAAACTCATGCAGTTTACTAAATCTCTACCATCACACTTGTATTCTACTACTGTATGTAATTCTTTTATGGATTATTTTAATACAAAAATTAGAAGTATTCATAAGCAAATACCTGCATATAATGTTGGCTGCGGCTGTTTAGATCCCTTCTTTCCTAAACTTTCTCTGTCCACTTTCTCTAATTTTAGTCTATACTGTCGATGAGGTAACCTGCACCATTCAGATCTCTAAATCCACTACCTGTCAGCTGGATCCTCTTCCAACACACTTATCTTCTCTGTCCTCTTTAATTACTGACATTTTTCATTCTTCACTGTCTTCTGGTTTTGTTCCTTTATCACTTAAAACTGCTATAATAACCCCTATACTTAAAAAACCAGGAGCAGATCCAACTAATTTTGACAATTTTCGTCCTATTTCAAATGTACCATTTATTTCTAAAATACAAGAAAAGATAGTTGCAACTCAGGTTTCAAATGATCTTTCTGGCAATAATTAGTTTGAAAAATTTCAATCTTGTTTCCATCCACTTCATAGTACGGAGACTGCACTTGTTAAAATCACTAATGATTTGCTTATGGCAGCGGACTCTGGACAGCTGACTATACTTATTTTGCTCGATCTGAGTGCTGCATTTGATACAATCTCACATGAGATCCTCTTAGACAGGCTTGTCTCCCTGGGATTTACAGGCACCTGTCTGTCTTGGTTTCGATCATATCTTTCTGGTCGCACTCAGTTTGTACAACTTAAAAACTTCAGATCTGAGTTATTGCATGCCACTGATAGTGTTCCCCAAGGCTCAGTCCTGGGGCCTCTTCTATTCATTATTTATTTACTGCCACCTGGACAAATTTTTAGGAAGTTTGGAATTTATTTCCATTGCTATGCTGACAACATCCTGCTCTATATGTCTTCCATGCCTAATTCGGTATTTCCTCCTCCTTCTCTGTTGAGCTGTTTAGCTGAAATACAAAATTGGTTTTCATCTGATTTCCTTAAACTTAATAGTGATAAAACTGAAATTCTTCTTGTAGTTACAAAGTCTAATTTGCTAAAATCTGGTAATTTTTCTGTGACTATTGGTAAGTCAACAGTTTTTCCATCCTCTCAGGTAAAGAGTCTGGGTGTTGGGTGTTGTCCTCGATAGCAATTTATCTTTCGAATGAATAATATTAATAATATTATTCATTCGGCCAACTTTCATATACGTAACATAAAGCGTCTTCGTCCATTTTTGACAGCACTACTACTCTTGTACATGCTTTGGTTACATCACGTATTGATTACTGCAACTCTATTCTATATGGTCTTCCTTCTAAAACCACAGCTGGTCCAGAATTCAGCTGCACAGATTATTTCTTGAACTCCTTTCATAGAGCACATTTATCCCGTTCTTACACTGGCTTAAATATCGAATTGATTTCAAAATCCTGCTTCTTACGTATAAGGCCCTTAATAATTTAGCTCCATTATATCTCACTGATCTTCTTCAAATTCGCACTCCTGTACGTACTCTTAGATCTTCTTCTTCAATCTCTCTAGTTCAACAACGTGTCCGTCTGAGAAGTACGGGGTCCAGGGCTTTTAGTTATGCTGCCCTTCACTTGTGGGATGCCCTTCCCCAGGACATTCGTAACAGCCTTCACACTTTTGAATCACGTCTTAAAACTAATTTATTTAAGCAGGCATATCAATGATTGTATGTGTTGATTAGTTAGTTTTATTTTTAGTGTTTTATTGTATTTTTATTTTCTGTCTGGTTTGATGTTGTTGTTGCTCGATGATGTTATAGGGATATTTGTAGTATCCTTGGTGACCTTGAGTGTCGTGAAAGGTGCCTAAAATTAAAAATGAATGAATGAAAAAAATATATAATAATAAATACACAAATAGAAGAATTTTTAAGTCAATCCTGAAGTGGACTGGAAGCCAATGGAGAGCTCGCAAAACGGGGGTGGCATGGTCATTTTTGTGATCATTTCTAAGAAATTTAGCTGCAGCATTTTGAACCAGTTGAAATCGAGCTACCTGAGACTTGGATATGCCGTAAAAAAAGAGAATTGCAATAATCCAAACGTTATAAAAGTATGGATAACTGTCTCAAGAGACTTTTCAGACAGAAAATGTTTTATTTTAGAAAGTGAAGGAAGCTGGAAAAAACTAGAGGCAATGACGGAGGATACATGTTTATCTAATGTTAGCCGACTATCAATGAGAACACCAAGGTTACATACACAACTTGAATTAAAAACAGACAGATTGCCCAGAGCGGAATTATTAAACTCAGATTTATCAGATGGACCAAAAATTATAATCTCAGTCTTAGAGTCAGTCATAAGTGATGTAATCTGCAAAGTAATAGCTTTTCTCTTCAAAATATTGCATTGACGTACCTCAGATTTAAAAAAAAACACCCTTTACCAAAGCCTCTTCCCTAACCCTCTTGCATCCATTCCTCCCTCCCTCTCTGACTCTGTTTCCACATCCAATACCAGCTGATGTCACTATTGGCAGATGCATCATTCCACATCACTGAATAACTGGAGGATATCATCACAAGCTCTGTCTGTTTGAATGCATCTCTATAGGATTATTGGAAAGTGTACATGCTACTATTTTAACTTTATTGACATTTTTTTTTACCACACCTCCTCCTCTCGTACTTCCTGTGAAAAAGTCAGCTATGTTCTCCTCGTCCAAACCCTCCCTACTCGTGCCCTGGACCTCCATGGATCAAGCTGACTCGGACGCTTTGGATATCAGCACTAAAGTGCAACTGCATGGGGTTCTGTGGAAGAGACCTTTCGGGAGGCCCTCAGCCAAGTGGTCCCGCAGGTAATATTGGGCCCTAACTACGTACAGTCTGTAACAAAAATAAAAGCATATGTACGATTCTTTTATTAGGAGGATGTTTTCAGTTATTGTATTTTAGTTTGCTGTTTTCCATTATGTTGTAATTTCCCTGTAGAGATATACAATATATTTCTTTGTTTTTGTTGTTCTGGTCAGTAATGAAGTGGCATGAAATAAATAATGTTATAGACTAGATACAGTGAGGCAAAAGAACAAGCTGCGGTATTATTAGTATTTTTGCTCAGTTTAAGCACATATATTTTGTTTGGTGCCTTGTTGTGTAATGCACTTTAAAAGCTTTATAGCTTAGCTGATATTGAGTAACCCGTCATTTTAAACTGAACTGGTGTGTTTTAAATGTGCCTTTAAAGCTGAGTAAGTCAGATCCATGAGGACATTCTGTGCCGCCGGTGAGTTTTTGTACATTAGGACTCATCAATTCCAGGACAGATCAATTCCAGGGAAATGAACGCGGAAATTGATGGTTATTTGGTCATTTATGAATTTGTGAAGGAGGCAGCGAAGGGTTTTCATGTAGTGCTTATCTAATGGTCAGAATGTGCAGTGTTAGCTGTGAGGTTATTTGTGAATTTCTTGTTGCTGTGTATGCTTTCATAACAGATTCTTCATCATCAAGGATAGTTTTCTTTTGTACTATGCTGAGAACGAGAAAAAAAGCTTTGAGACCAATAGATACTTCAACATTCACCCCAAGGTACACAGACATTTACATTTCTTAGAGTTGCACATTATTATTATTAACATTAACTGTGACTACACTGTAAAACGATTACTGTGAAATGTACAGTAATAATGCTGTGAAAACTACAGAAATCTGTTACAGTGTATTTAAATAGTAGTGAATATAGATTTAATTGTATAATCATATACTTAAGCAATATCATGCAAGCAAGATGTGCAACTGTTATTGTACTGAATATTAGCACAGCTGTGTGATGACTGCTCACTTTTTTAATATAACCAAGCAATTACATACTGAGTAATGTAAGCAAAACATGTCCAATGTGTTCAAGTGTACATTTTTACTGAGCATGAAATGTATTCTATCTTTTGCTCAATGTAAGGGGGTGATTCCATTAGCTGGATGCATCGTCGAGCCAAGAGAAGATCAAGGCATGCCATTTGCCATGGTTATCAACCATGAAGACTTCACAGTAAAAGCATTTTCTTCTTTTGTACTTTATTCTATTCTGTTCTATTCTATTTTTTTGGGGGGGGAAACCAATTCACCACAATCAATTGGGTTTCCAAAGCTATATCAGAAAGGGGTAGGATGAACAAATTCAATGAAATTATTCATCCTTTTTTTTTTTTTTTTAAGTAAAGAGCTGTTTAGTGCAAACTGATTCACTAGAATCGGTGATAGCTAACCCTGGCCCTTATGTGAACTTTAGTTATTCTTTAAAATAAATACATAAATAATAATGATTGTATTATTAATAAAATATTAATAATAATAGTTTAATAATAATATTAATATAATATTATTAAAATATTATTAATATATTATTAATATTAACAACATTGATATATTAATAATATATTATTAATATTAACAAAATAAAATAAAATAAAATAAAATAAAATAAAATAAAATAAAATTAAATAAAATAAAATAAAATAAAATAAAATAAAATAAAATAAAATAAAATAAAATAAAATAAAATAAAATAAAATAAAATAAAATAAAATAAAATAAAATAAAATAAAATAAAATAAAATAAAATAAAATAAAATAAAATTAAATAAAATTAAATTAAATTAAATTAAATTAAATTAAATTAAATTAAATTAAATCTTAATGAATATATTTCTGCTTATCCTGTATAGGGAAACATTGTCCTGGCTGCTGAATCAGAGCCAGAGCAGAGCCAATGGGTGGAGATGCTACAAGAGTCAGGAAAAGTGTGAGTGAACTTCTAATAACATCCCTGGAAAAAAAAAAGATGAAAGTAATTAAAGCTTCTCTTGTAAAACCACAAGCATGCTTTAAAACAATTCCAAATTTAAGATTTAATTCCAGCATTTGTTATATTTTACAGATTATGTCTGATATTAGTGTTATTTTTGTGTGGTGATGTGAATTTTTTTTTTTTAATTAAAGCACTTGGAAGAATGCTCAGTTGGGTGAGGCTATGACTGAGAGTCTTGAAGCTCAGGGGCTACAGCTGGCTAAAGAAAAGCAGGAATACTTGGGTATGGCCACATCTTTTTCTTTTCTTCTTTTAGCCAAACGTTTTCTTTCTTTCTTTCTTTCTTTCTTTCTTTCTTTCTTTCTTTCTTTCCATAAATGTCTAATTTATGATGAAGTGATGTATTGTGTCTTTGTTTTTGTCAGATAAGCTCATGGAGGAGACTGAAGAACTGTGCTTGCAAAGAGAACAAAAGGCGGTTAGCTTTCTATTTATGATACCAACAATGTCCAGTAATGCAGTGTTTAGTTGTATTATGCTGTAGATTTGTACAAAGATATGTGTTGATATTCAATCAATGCATGTAAAGTGAGTGATGGATAAATATGCAAATATGTCTGTGTGTCTTCATGTGTGTATCTGTGTTTTGTAGGAGCTGGAGAGACTGAATCAATTGCTGGAGGAAGAAAAGCAGAAGTTTGAGGAAGTGGTTCAAGAGCTGAGAACAGAACAAGATCAAATTAAACTGTACGACACTATCTATCTATCTATCTATCTATCTATCTATCTATCTATCTATCTATCTATGTGCCTATCATCTTTTTTATATAATGTACTTATCTACTTACTTCATCAAATTTTGATGACAAACGTGTCCTGCCATAATAAATGGGGTTTGAGAACAATCCAGCATGTTTATGAATAAAACATATAAAATTAATAATTAATATGTTAAATTTATGAAAACATTGTTTATTGCTCTGTGTTGGTAGAGATCTGGATGGTACTGCTCAGTGTCTGAAAGGTGTGGAAAATGAAAAAGAGGAGCTTCATAATCTTACCACAATTCTGCAGAAGTCTTTAGAGGTATCAGGAAATAAACATTTTAAAATATAATAATGAAAAAAGAAAATTATAGAAGTTAAAGAACAGTGTACAGTCATATTATATTTACCAGATGTGAAGCACAAACAAATAAATACACATGCAGGACTGATCTGAGGTGAAATTATTTCATGTGAGAAGAATGAGGCTGCATAGAGCTGTATGAAAGACATTTTATAATGAAGTTCTGGCTTGTTATTATCCATGAGGTGAAAAAAAATGATGCATAACAAAAGTCTGACTCTGTCTCTTCAGGAGTTATCCCAAGAGAAAAAGCGTACCCTCGAGCTGCTGCGAGAAAGAGGACAGGATGTGGCTGAAACAGGAAGTGATCGGCGGGCCTCTTTAAACTCTCAGAATCCAGAGGTGCAGCTTCAGGGCAACCTGCGGCAAATCGAGGAGCAGATGAAGAGCCTGCTTAAAGAGAAAGAACAGGCAGAAGAAAGATCGGAAAAGCTGGTCAAGAAAAATGTTTCATTACAAAATATATAATTTCCAAACAAACGAACAACGATTTGAAATGTAGCACCATTATTGTTTGGCCAGAAAGTGCATTAGAATAAATGGACTGTCGAGACCATGACAATGGAAATGTACATTGATCCCTAAACAAGCCAGTCTATTGATTAGATGTGAATGAAGCACAAAAGACAGAGAGTGGATTGACTAGTGGGCATGAGTGACCTCAAAAGCAGGATATAAATAAATGTGACTCTGCCGTATGGTCCATTACGCACGGTACAACAAATTTATAACAAACCTGATAAGATGGCATTGATTTTTTTACTTAGCCAAAAAAGTTGTAGTGTCATTTCTGTTTACTGCTGCATACTCTTTAAAAAATGTGAGGTTAACTGAATATAAACTCTAAAAAATGCTGGGTTGAATAAGCTGGGTCAAAATTTTTTAGAGTGTATGATTAAATATATACACTGTAAAAAAAATCAGTAAAATTTACGGTAAAAAAACTGCAGCTGTGGTTGCCAGAATTTTACCATAAAAAATACGGTAGCAATGTTTTGGGGTTTACGGTTTTAACTTAAATTTACAGTTAAATACCGTAATTTCATTAACTGTTATAATGTTAATATACCAACCTATTGAAGTACTAAAGTAAATTATACTGTCTTTTTCACTTCCAAAAACGTCATACTACCGTAAAATTCATGTCAAATACATGTAATGTCCAATACAGTTTTTCACCATATACAGTAGGGGAATTTACCATTAACCATTTAACAGGTTTTTACTGTAGCATTTTTACAGTCTTTTACCGTTACATTTTCATTTTTTACAGTGTAGGCTACTCCATATTCTGCAAAATATATTGTAGTATGTACACTGCACATAGGAAGTGATTATGCATACAATATATATATATATATATATATATATATATATGAAGAGATAAGGTACCATTTATATATTCTATATTCTTTTTGACCAATACAAAGTAAACACCACCAGTAAACACCACCCAATCATGGTACATTTTTGTAAGTGGCTTGGTTAAGAAATGTGGTACTTGTAATAGGCAAGAGTATGAGAAAACTACACATCTTACTTCCTTTGGTGCTGTTTCTGCTGGGCTGCCTCAGACATTTGGCCCTGAAGGATGAGTTTACGTTGCTTATCCACATCCCCTTCCATACGAGCAAACGCATGACTTCCTACCAGCCCCGTTGTTTCTTGTTTATTTACACACATGTTCGGTCGAACTGTTGTATAAACGCAATATCACTCTCATATTCAAGCAATACCGGCTCTATATCAGCTAATCACAGCTCTGGCCTAATCACAGCCATGCTGATATAGAGCCGGTATATCGCTCTCGTACTCGAGTGATATTGCTCATATATATATATATATATGTATATATATATATATGACTTGCCACTATTGCCAACATGTTCCGTATGCAATAGATAACATTTCACATGTATCCCATAATACAATACACTTGACCTTCCATTACAAATTAAACTGAGGCAATATCTCTTTCTTAACCCCGGAGTGCCAAAACTTTTTTTTTTCGTAAACATAAAATTGTATAAATATATTTGTATTCAAAATGGAAAATAACGGGCCAGCAAACATTTCACTCAAAACATGACCTTCTTCAGGGCCATACTATATTTTAAAATGCATACTGAGTACTGTTTCAAATATTAAAAAAATATGTAGTATTTTGTAAATACTGTGTAGTATGCAGAAATTTGTACTCAAAATAATTAATTAATTAATAAAAAAATTAACAAACAAATAAATAAATTATGATTTTATTTTATTTTTTTAGCAAATGTAGTTATAATTCATGTACAGGTCAGAATGCTAATAGAAATTATATATAAATTATTTTGTACTTTTACACAGAAAACTGTGAGCAGAGAACAATAGCATCCCTGGCATCTTACAAACTACACTCCAGTGCTCTCTTTCCTACTGCTTTGTTTTGATGGCAGTCAGCCAGACTTCTCTCTGTCGCCCCCTGCAGGCTGAAAGAGAATGAAAAGCGAGCCAAACTTCTGCAGGAGGAGAGGGAGTTTTATTCTTCTCAAGCTCAAGCTCTCCAGCAGTCGCTCACACAGCTCACAGTAGACAAACAGCACACCGAGGAAGAGCTGAAGGTGAAAACTACTGAGAAGGGGGGAAAAAAGACTTTCTGTAAATCTGGTTGTGGAACATTGCAAAAATTCCCACTATTCTTTTCAGGGTGCTATGATATTTTTGCTTTGGATCTAACATACAGTGTTATTAGGTTACATATATATCGCACTACCTCTTCTGCATCTCTGGATCATCTGCACATCTACTATCACTTCTCACTGATATAAAAATCAATTGAAATTCTATAAAAGCCCATGCCTGTCTCCTCCTTCATACCGCACTTCTAAAATGAATCTCCCTAATACTCTGTCTTCGTAATATACATTATATGTTGTTTGTTTGTTTGTTTGTGTGTGTGTGTGTGTGTGTGTGTGTGTGTGTGTGTGTGTGTGTGTGTGTGTGTGTG